GGGAGGGAGGGAGAGAGAGAGGGGCTACAGGGGAATACTAAGAGTCAAAACCACCACCTTTCTAACTCTTCCTCCTCCACTTCACCTGGTTTGAGCCAAGCGAATTCTAAAGACACTTTTATATCATCTGGACCCACACAACTCTGGGTCCAGCTCTGCTCCTCCCTGTCACTAATAATTCACTCACACACGCACACACACACACACATACACACACACACACGCACACACTTACAGTGAACTTTTACCCCCAAAATGTCCCAGGTGACAGCAGAGACAGTTCTAGGTCATTAATTAAAAAGCAGTGCCATTACACTGAACCAAACTGTAATTACACACTGACTGTTTATGTTAAAACTGCCTTAGTTTTGTATGGGATTATGGTAATTTGGTTTTTACATCATCTTCACAGTAGATTTAACATGAATCAGGTGGAACCACCCAACTCTGTAGATCAACCTAGGGATCGGGACCCATCTAGTGGACACAAAATTATTCTAAGGGGTCAAAAACTGATCAAATGAGACATAAAAAGAAGGAAAAAACATGTTCTGCTCTTCGTATATATCGAATAGTTCTGCCTGTTCAGTCAAAACGATTGGGAACCATTGAGAATGGACCCGTTTCTTGTGTTTCCTTCAGTTTATATCTAGATCTCATACAGTTATGACAATCCAGTGCCAATATTTAACTTTCTATTCACTTTAGCTGAAGTATTCTGCTATTTTTCTTTGTTAAAGCCAAAGGCTTGGTGTGCTTTGTGCATTGAAGACTAAAATATGTACTTACATTCATTGAAACCATATTCAAACTCCTCCAGCGTTTTGGGGAATGTGAAAGGAGGTTCATCTTTCTTCATCAGTTCATCTAAGTCTATTCTTGACAGCAAATCTGAGGAAGAAAGAAAAGAGCAAAAATTAGTGACAAAAATGCCACAGTCAAGATTTCATGTCATAAACTGAACTACAGCATCATAACCTAATATCCAGCAACATCATCTACATTATAATTTTTACAAAGTCTGAGTTATGAAGCAAAACCAACTGCTATACAAAAGTCCTCCCTACTCACCTAAACTAAAAGCTATTCATCTTCAAGTGGCACAGTCAGTGGAAAAGAGGATATTCCCATCAAGTAATAACCAAAATATCTATCAACATTTTTCTGCAAATTCTATTACTAAAGAATTCTTTACAAGAATGATACAAAATGGTCTGTTAAAATGGTGGGTGAATATACTTGACTCAAGGTTAAGAGGAACATTTCCTGTCCTATGTCGTTTACTCCAGCTAAAACTCTAAATATGAACTGATAGATAAAGTGTTCAGTTCATGGGACAAAAAACAAATGAGGACAAGTAGGCTGGACATCATCAGTGAAATGAAACCACAGTCCGTATGAGTTTGTGTGTCGTACTGCATAGGTCAGGCATGTTGGCATGTCAAGAAGGGAGGAAAACTTAACTAGGCTCAAAGCAGCAGGCCATTCTGGGAAAGTCTGTTTAAATGGAGCAAGGCATCTGTCTTTTTATTTGAGGTGATGCAAGTGACAGCTTTGAAATGACGAGACAGCAAATGAAAGAGAAAAGTACATTGAAATACATTTAAAAAATAGACATATCTAGCAAGAAGTTGAAATTGTAAGTTAGGTCCATCATAGCTGTGTCTGTGTGCCCATGTAGGTTGCGATCATTATTTTATTTCATATTTTCATATCCATTGAGCACATTTTCTTCTCTTTTGCTTTCATTTTCAGGATGAGTATCACGTCATATTTACCTTTGAGTGCAGTAGTCTTCTCTCTGTCCTCTTGGCCAGCTATCTGGGCCATAGTGATCCACAATATGTACAATGCTGGTGTGGCAGCACGAAGATGAGAAAGCATGGGTCCTCCTCTCCCAAAGATCACTGAGAAGCATCCTGTCACATGTGGGAATTGAAAAGGAGAAAACTAAGAACTGGAAATCATCATAGCTGGAACACATGTACTGTGTTGTATCATAAAATAACATTCCTGTATCGGTCAGACAATTAATCCCTTCTTCATTTACCAAAGATCATAAAGGTAACTGTCTCAAAGCTTGTTGCACCTGCAAGATGGCAGTAAGCCAAAACATCACAACCTACCGTTGTATCCTACTCTCCAGCACAGGCTACAAACTTATAGCTTAACGCTGCTGAATAAAATGGAGGAGTGGTCATTTACGCTGCAATAACACACTGCATAAACAGCTAACTACAACTATTTGTCAACATTAATGCCAGGAAACATGTAACTGTGAGTACGGCAGCCGCCTTGTGTTCGCTCAACTTTGCACACACGTGCTGCAAGTGAATTAATTATGCAAACATAGCAAAGTTATTCCGGCTTTGAAAGCACGCTGCAGGCGGTAAAAAAAAACATTCATTTTCACACGCTTAGCTAACTCAGACTGCTCTGGCATCTTCTCACCGACAGTCAACATCTGTTTAATGTTTCGTGCTCTTTTAAAAACAACTCCGGGAGTGTGTGCAGTGGCTCTACATGGAGCCACTGCGAGCAGGTAACTGTACAGTCAGGATACTCGTGCTTTTATTTCACGTTCGTTTCAACCCAACCAAACACGGAGTTTCGGAGAGGAGCAGATGTTTAGAGTAGATGCAGGCATGCTTTTTGTTCGACTCACGCACCATCAGTGTATGCGACTGTCCACTTGCTGCTGCTTCCTTGAAATTTCTAAAACAGGAAGGACTCGCTGAGCGTGAAGCTTCCGGGTTACCGGGGCAACGGACTGGAAGGGATATTTAAAGGCACAGTAGCACAGCAGCTGCTCCAGGTTATACAGATGTTTTCTCTTGTGTGTCATGTGTACCACTCTGCTTTGTCTACCGTGGCATGTATCCAAGGTACATTTGTACTTAAATACTATTTTGAGGGAACTTTACTCGAGTTGTTCCATTTTCTGCTACTGTATATTTCTGCTCCACTGTTCTGAGCGCTTCTATTTCACAGCCTTTTTTATTAGATCATTTAGATACTATGCGAATAATGATTTTACCAGTAAATCATATGATCTTATTCAACATGATGCATTGTTTTATATTAAACTAAGCAACACTATATAAAGTTACATTTAACGGCCCCATGACAATAATAAAATGTTTCTGACGCTAATGCACTAGTAATGCTATTCCAGTGATATATATAATATAGTATATATAACACTCGTGAAACAGTATTTATACATTTATATAATAATAAGCGCTATTTTCACTTTTGATAGTTTTACTACAGTTTACTATTATTATTATTATTATTTTTAGACATTTGTTGGCACATAATACAGTTATCAAGATATTATATGTACACTCACATATATACTTTTACCTACATATACTCAGATATACGTGAAACTGATTTAAACAAGAGCTTGTGCAGGAGAGGTAGGAAGCTAAAAGCTTATGCAAAGACCTCTCTTAAGAACTCAGAAACAGAATTACACTGAAATTAATTAAAATACTGATAATAATATTTTTAATTGAATACCTGCTTCATTTTAAGATTGTATAAAGTAAAAATAAATACATCAATATATAATAAAGTTAAATACACTGTTAGAAATGGGGCACCGGATTGTGCATGTGTGAGTTGCTAACATTTTTGCATACATGTATTTTTTTATTGAACTTAAGCTTATCACTTAGTCTAAAATGTGTTCATAACACATCATGCAATTTTATGTTAATTTCATAACACATTATTTTCAAAATAAATCTAAATGAATAGCCTAAATTTGACAGCATTTGACACTGAACTGGTTTGGCCAGGCATTTTTTAGTGGTGGCAGCTGGCACCCCATGCCACCTCTTTAGATCCACCCCTGTCTTTTTGATTCTCCACTAAGTGGTCAGCACTGTCTTCACAGTTTGTCAGAGTGACATGGATAGGAGCATGTTACTTTAAAAGGCAAAGAAAAACATCATTTGATTGGTGTCATGGTTGAAACTACAGTAGACCTGCCAGACTTACTCATATGGTGCCACGGGTAACTTACCAAAAACCACCTGCCACACTCTGTTCACCATCATGAACCTGTGACTGTGCTTTATGACATATGCTTTTTGATTCACATTAAGAGCATCCTGGTTAAACTAAAGCTGTATGCCCTACTTCTGGGCGGCCTCTAGAAGTGGAAGCTGTTTCTCAGGGGAGCTGAGCTACCCTGTTTCCTCAAGCAGTAAAAGCTGCAAAGGGAGACCCAAATAAGAACATGACATATTGTGTCATTGATATCTGAGATACGGGAGATACATCTTGCTCAATAAATTTCTTCAGACTTGACTTGACAAATTTACAAAAGCCTCGCAAAACCAGAGACTGGTCAGTTCACATGGACTTGAAATACTTTATACCCTCTCACACCAATGCCGGGGTTGGCCCACAGCAGAGCAGACATTCAGGCCAATATTCAAACGGTAGACCCACTTCAAGCTTAGTATGACTTGATGTGCTTTTGAAGTGATTATTGTAACTTTATGGCAGGACTTTTCATGTTACTATGAATTCAAAATTGTAGTGAATCCTCATTGCATAAAAACTCATTTTATAGGATGTACTATGTAAACAATATTGTTATGTGTTGTGGAGTTTTGGTGTACACCAGAGTATGGCTGCCCATTTGTTACTTTAAGTTTGGAAAAGTAGTATCATCTTTGATTTGTTCATTTGATATAGTACATTAATAATTATGTTCTTGTTGTATTTTGAATTTAGTGACAAATGCATTATGACTTGTTTGTAACTTGAAAGCCAAATAATAAGGAATTGGGGCTTGAGATGAAAATTAAATGAAACCAGGGAGCTCTAGCAGAACGATGGTCTTCCTATAATGTTTCCATGTTGGCTCACTACATGCTGACACAAAGCTTGTTGTACTCAATGGATGAACATACAAATAAAACCAACATCTTTCTGCTGTGAGAGTTTGCTGTGGATAATGCACTAATATACTGAGGGTAATCAATTGAAATGTAAATCCGAGGAGTCAAAATGCTGTGACTGTTTATCCTGCATAAATATGTCATGATGAGCTCTGGGATTCTAAAATGTTTATGTAGGTTTGATAATCCCTGAATGAATACTGTTTAATAGAAAATTCAGTTTATTCTTTGTTATGAATCATTCTTTGTAATGATTTATTGTGAATTATACCATCCAATGGAAATACAAATGGATAACCCTACAGTTACTTACTTTAGGCAAGAGGGCGTGGGAGAATGAAAGAGATCAAATCATTTTTTTTCCACAGAAAACAGTTATCTTAGAAGAACAATTTGGCACCTCTACCAGGTGAGCTATCAGGGCAACCGAAACCAAGGACTGTTTTTCTGCAACACTAAAATAAAATAGTTCTATTGTTACTTCAAACACAGTTCATTTAGAAAGACTAATTTGTTGCCTTTTTGCCTTTATTCAGAGTAAAAAGGTACAATTCAGTTGCTGAACATTTTATTGTCTTTTGTGTTCCCTAAGTGGTTTGGTGATCACAATCTTGCTACATTTGCATTGAAAATCTAGTTAAGGAAAGGCACATCTCTCTCTGGAACTGTTTTTCTCCTCTCTCAAAGGGATCACACAGGGTGTGCAGTAGCCTTTGTGAGCTGAATTTATATTCTTGTTGATAAAAAGAGCACCATTTGAGTTGTTTAATGTTTATTTGAACATCAAATATAAAAGAGAAGAACATGTAATGTATGTATTCAAAAACGTAATACTAACTTTATGTCATAAATCATCATAAATTATTGACTGCACAGAGATCAGATAAATTGATCATATGACAGAAGAAGCATATTTAGTAGTGAAGTAAGAATATCATTTTATTTTCATGTTTAATTCTAAAACATTCCATCTCATAAATAACAAAATATGGACAATCTTGGAAAAATATACTGAGCAATCGTATTACACATAAAATAAATGTTTTCTCAGTTTGCACAAAATACTCACTGATATTACATAGTGGGACAGATTTTTGGGTCACATTGTAATCAAAACATACATCATCTTGCTTCCCAACCGTAATATTTGATGTTTGCTTTCAGGAACCAGGAGAAAGTATGTTGACACCAATGTCTTTACACTCACTGTCTCAAAAAAAAACTTCAACTACCAACAGTGATCACACAGTCCCATCTTGTCCCAGGCAAACAAATCCAGGCTCTCTATTTCCCAGAACTGATTTCTGGAGATGTGCTCCAAAAAGATGAAATGCGTCTGATGCAGCATAGAAAAGCACAGAGAGTTTGTCTGAGGCATGTGCATAAAGACGCATCGTCTCCCTCACTCTTTTTGTTGCTCCACAGTTTCTTGTCCGCTCTCTCACTCATGTTTTCATGCACACACATATGCAAACTTGCTGCATTCAGTGCATGCACAAACCCAATTACAACCCCAAATGTGCACACACCCACATATACACACACTCTACTACCTAGAGAGGTGCAAGTGAGTATTACAAGCAAACATTTACAACGTGATAAAAATTCCAACGGCGTGGCCTGTTATTGGGCAGCACTCTTATCGGATGGTTGTGTTTCCCCCTGGGTCTGCTTTGCCACTGTCTCATCAGCTTCAGGAGGGTCCTGCGGTCCTGGTCTGCAGCAGCAAACAAAATATGCTTTCTGAAGTTCCTCTATCATAGATTTTTCTCCATCTTCGAGCTCTGCATCCTCCTGCATCTCCCACCTGGAAAGCACAGAAAGACAGAACATCTGTTTTAACACCAACAAACATTTGTCACTCAGGGTTAAATGAAAACACAGCAGAACGTACTAAATGTGTCATCTGCAAGTTCTGTTGGTGTATAAAGATTGTGTCAACATACAAAATGAGCACACCAACAACATTCTGTGTGCCCCTCTATTTGTGTCTCACAGAATAAGAAAGGACCCCACTGCCTGCAGTACCCCACTGTCCAAAATACATTCTCTACACACACTGCACACTGAAACTCTTCGAGGCTCTACACGCCACACTTTCACTTTTTAAGTTCTCACATGGGAGTTTTGTCTTTCTTTTTTCATGCTGTGTAGGTCAATTTCACAGCATGCTGTGCTGCTGTGATATACTATCAGACTTACAGGTTTTCACTCATGCAAACACACACTTACAGACTTGGATGTTATAGAGAACATTAAAACAAAAAAAAAAGTAAAACAAAGGAGAATCTATGCTTCTGGCTCACTGTATATCTCTATGCGTCTTCCCTTGTCTGTCAATCTGATGTTTACTGTGGCTAAGTCATGGTATGACAACTGTTACGCATACAAACCCCTTGGGTGACTGGTTTTTAGCATGAAGGAAATTGCTCCCCTATATCTTGTTGCTTCTCCATCTTGTTTAACTGCTTCCACAATATGTCTCTCGATGACATTTTCTAATTCTTCAAGCTACGAGAGTGGATGGAGGACTTCAATATGAAGACATCAAGGGTAGTCACGTTGTAATTCACTCTCTGTATTTCAATGGAATCTCTTGACGAGTGACTGTGGTCAATCAAATCCATATGGAGAGCTGGCGGAAGGCTGTCTTTGAGCTGCCGCATCACACTCCCTCCGAAGTAGAATTATATCTGTCTGACTGCAAATGATTGCATTTTCATTGCAATCTCTGAGTTTCCTTTTATCCTGCCCCCCCTTCAATTCCTCACTATATCTTCAAACATGTACAATATAGTTGTGCTCTGTGCATGCGTGTGAGGCGTACACGTGTGTAAGGAGGAAAACACCAAGTATATCATGCATGTGTTGCATACTAAGAGCACTTTAATGAAGTTTCAGTCTGTGTCATAGTGTGTATCTGGACAAATCAGACATCCTCTTTCTCTGTTTCCCAACTACCATCAGTGTGGTAATTACCGTCTGAAAGGAGAGGATCTGTTTATGTTAATATGCAGTTTCCTCTCATGTGACTGCATTCTCACTCCACACACAACTTTATTTACAAATTTTTATGTTTATCTGGGTAATTTTTGTGTCTATAACAGAGTGAGTGGACTGTCTCTCAAAAAAGACAGAACAAAGGCAGAAGTAGTTAAGTCTGCCTTTGATGACTGCTGTAGACCCTGTTGGAAGAATGCAGATGAGTGCCAGGGGCAGACAAATTGCCCCTATATTATTTTTTCAGTGACATAAAATCAAAATCAGTTCCGCTAAATAACCATTATGGGATACAAACACTCACACAAACAAAACAATACAAATGTCACACAGCGTGCAAAACAAGAACAGGAAGGGAGTGAGGGAGAACAGAAAGCTGGAGGAATGGTGGCCAATAAAGGAGGGAGCGAGAGAGGAAGGAAGACAGGAAGGTACGCTAAAGGTTTTTCAATGTTTAATTTTCAAATAGGATTAAGCAGAATGACATTTAGCTGAAGGTTACAGGCTCAGCATTGTCTTAGCTGATATTGATATGCAGGAGGCGCCCTGCTTGTCACCGGGACAAACACCGTTGATGAATGAGAAGCCTTTCCCCAGGAAGGTGTTAAGTGCAAATTTGAAATGAGAGAGAGGCAGAGGTAGAGAGAGAGAAAAAAAGAGAAGGCGCACACATAGACAGAGATTGAATTACAACGATAGTTGCCATGTATACTGTCACTAGATAATGTTGCCAAAAGTGTAAATTGTTCCGTAAAGTATAGGTTGCATATTCGTTGAGTTTGGCTGATCTCGTGCTGAAAATGAGCAGAAAAATACACAAGGTGCTTTGCTGTGTGTATCTAATTTCAACAACTACAAATCAACAATGCCTCTTAGAAATGCATAAGTAGGCTAAAGTTGACAATAACTTCACTGTATCCTCATTTCGGCAAGTTTTCCCCTGGAATTTACATCTTAATAAGGAGAGTCTTACCCTTTAATTCTTATGGGCTCTGCTCATTTCTCATGCATTAATACTGGAGCTGCTGACTTGGCTCTTCCTCTGAATACAGAATAGGACACACATATTAAGACTCATATATTTACAGGATTGATGCCACGGGAGATTGTCTCAGAGTGAGATGAAAAGGCTGGCTCAGATGTATTTCAATGGGAACATCAATGTAAGCTGTCCTAATCATGGGACAATGCAGGCACAAGACAGAGAGCATCTATCCTGATTTTCAGCTGATAATGAGTAGTGATGTTTGACAAATTAAGAGCATAAGCCCTGCTCAGAGATCATCCAGCAATCAACTTACTTACTAAATCTTATTCAAAAAACACAGCAGATGAAACTTTGATGTTCGACTCTAGCAGCTCCCAGCGACAAAGAATAAAACAAACTCTGATAGACAAAAAGTATTGACATGGAGTGTGGAAAAGAAAGAAAAGTATAGACCATGTGAAAGAAAGTGAGTGAGCAGGAAGACAAAGTGCTTGAAAGATCATGAGAGACAGTGGCCAGTGGTTTCCTCTGCAGCTGTCAGTGGGCTGAGTGGTTTCTCTCAGAGTGTTGGGTGTTTGTGCTGCGCTGGGTGCCCTGCCTGCTCTGCCACTGGGACCGCTGTTTGTTTAAAAGGCTCGCCTGTCAAACAGAGAGCGCCACCGACAGCCAGACACTCAGCTAAATGACTCTGACAGCGGCCCTAATCAGAGGCTTTGCACATTGCCGCAGGGCCTGGAGGATCCATCATAACCCAAGCCTAAATATTTAAAGTGCTAAACTTTCCAAAGGTCAGGCCTTTCCATGCATGCCAGGGCGACATGTGTCAGAGAAGTAGGAAGAGAGGGACTGAACAAGAGAGAGAGATGGAGAGAGAGAGACTATGGTTAAATGTCCTCTATCATTTCCACCCTTGTGAGAACAACTTTCAGTTTTAGACCTTCAGAGTCAGGTTACATTTAGTGAACAGACATCATTTTGACTGGTCGTCATGTCTTCAGCCATCTCATTTGGGGTTAGAACTAGAGTTAAAGTGAAAGATGAAATAGAAAAGACTTTTGTAAAAAATAAATAAATAAACGCATCTCTGCAATTCATATCACAAAGCGCTCTCTGAGACACTCTGTCGCTGAAAAAAAAAGATATGCATGGTTGTATCTAAACTTGAAGTTAGAAAAACTAGCTTTTAGACATCACGGAGTGAGCAGACAGAGAAAAGCTGGACTCACCACCAGAATGGATGAACCATTTTAACCTGAACACAGTAAGTTTTCAAGCAGCTACTTCTTGCCGATGTCAGAGTTTAAGGTCAGGTGTTTAGAGGTGGTGAGTAAAGGTGAGGTCAGTGGATTAAATTAGCTGGTGCAAGGATGTTCATAATGTAAAAGGATGTGTACAGTATGTCTGTGTGTGTTTTCTTTCTACCTTGTATAGCCATGTTACGTCCATTCTATCTAATTTCACGCTATTACACTTGGCCTTTGGTGTTGCAGTTCCACAGATAGAAATGTTGTCCATGCAGGTGTCTGAGAAGCAGAGTGCATAGGAATACATCATCATAGGAGAAGACACAGAGTACTTCTAAGAAGTGACAGAAAGCATTTGGGTTTTTGTTTATGACCTGTCATTAGTTTTAAATGAAGTAGATTAGTTGTCCAGCAAGCCAAGTCACAATTTGTGACACAAAATTGTCCAATTTTGCATCTCAATCTACAGTGTAGATTGTGTAGAATAAAGCAGGAGAAAAATGGTGAGTAGAGGGAGACAGACAGCGTTTATATGACAAACTAAAAGAAAAATGAGAAGCGATATAAAAAAGGAAACAACAAAGAAAAGTTATTAGTTGGGAATGGATATTGTACATTAGGATCTAGTTCAGTTGGGGTAACTGACAAGTTCACAATACAGGGCCGGGGGGTCATCTCTTCGACTCAATTTCCATTGAGAAGCAAACATCCAATTCAATTTAGATATGTGCCTGTGCTAGGCTATGAGCCAGAGGGAGATTGTAACTGACAGCCATTGGACAGCCGGCTGGATTTGAATATTGACGAGACAGAGACTTGACAGAAGGGATTATGCTCTACCTTCTGACTTACTAGCCGCTACACTGATCCATTCTATTGTCAGATCAACTCAGTGTCAGGTCTACAGTATGTCCATGCGGCGCGGTGATGCCACTCAGTATTAGACCCTACCTGAGATCCATCTCAATCCAAACCGATGTCCACTCAAAAGCTACAAGAAACAGACTAAATCAACAGGGACAAAAAATATGCAATATCAAAGCAAATCTATTTCAAAGTAAACCTGAACGGGTAGCTTTACTGTACAGCTGCTGTGTTCAATATAGACTGACGCAAATACATACACACACACACAGTGTTGTTTCACAATAATTGAGAGGATGACTGGTTTCCAACTGCAAACCTTATACGTCTCTAATTTACCTGAAAATTAGCCCTTCACAGACTACATGGAGTACCTTCTAATCACATGATGACATTTTGACTTCATGCATCAAAAAAATGCACTAACACGTACATGCACTGGTGTAGCCAGACACATGCATGCAAAAAACATTCTATATTATTCGATATTATGCTCACTTTGGAGTCTTGATGTATCACGTTTGAATAAAGCACGACTTCTGTTTGTGTGTGCGTGTGAATGTGTGGGTCAAATCCACAGTCTTATCCATGTCCAACCAGCCTCATCTCCCACCCAGCACGCACCCTCCCATCTCGAGGGCCGTCGAGAGCAGGCGAGTCATAGAACGCCTGATCAAAGGGCCTCGGACAGATCTGTAAAGGCCCTTTGAA